CCATTTTTGGATCTTGTGTGTTCCTTCTGTACTTTCTGCATGTTGTACACTTGTAAATATGTGAGGCAACTGCACTGCTGCATCCTATGACCCATACTCCATTGGATCGCAATTCATTGGCAGTTATTCCTCTTCCTTGATGATGCACCCTTTCATGGTAGTGCTTAATAAGTAATGATGATACATGACCCTTATTTGGCACAATGGCAGGATGCTTGACATGCGGATGAAGAACAGATCTTGTCAAACGTCCTCCAACCCTAAGCACACCATGTTCATCTACAAACGGACTCAGTTTGTGTAGTTTGTTTATCTTGTCTTTGGGTTTTACTTCCTTGCCTTGCTCTATACCTCTGATTTCACTGCTGAATGCTTCCCTCTGAACCAACTTAATTATAAACAGCTCTGCTTCCTTCCTTTCCTCAATACTTGTAGCTCTACTTACTTTATCTTTGATGCCTTTGATCTGCTTAGCATGGCGCTTTAGAAGAGCAATAGCCTTGACAGCTCTTTTCCAGTCAGAGAACTTTGTTAGGCGGTCTAACAATGACCTCTCCTCCCTCACCTTGGTGTTGAGCACCAGGGCCTTTCGAAGTTCCGGATCATGATCATAGACTTCTCCCACCATAACATCTCCTCTGGGTAGCTCTCTTTCCCATAAAAAATCCGGGCCAGTGAACCAATTTGAAGCAACAAGCTGATCTGCGCAGAGACCTCTTGACGCATGATCTGCAGGATTATCTTCAGACCTTACAAAGTGCCATTGTGCAGAATCTGTAGTAGACTTGATTCTTTGGATTCTGTTCGCTACAAACACATGAAACCGTCTGGCATCATTGTTTATATAGCCGAGGACAACCTTTGAGTCAGTCCAAAAATGTTCTTGAAGACCCTCTATTTCAAGCTCATTTCTTAGCATAACACTTGTTCTTGCTGCCACAACTGCAGCCAACAGCTCAAGCCGTGGCACTGTGGTTACTTTGGTAGGAGCAACCCGTGCCTTTGCCATTACTAGCGTGCAGTGAACTTCTCCCTTGACGTCGATTGCTCTGAGGTAAGTACATTCCCCGTAACTGATGACACTTGCATCTGAGAAGTGGTGAAGTTCGTACTGCTTGACATCTTTAAAGTTCTCTGGGATATAGCACCTTTTGATCCTTACATTAGATAAGTTTCGAAGATCTTGTAGCCAGATTTCCCACTGTGCTCTTAGCTCTGGTGGGAGTGGCTCATCCCAAGTTACTTTGTCTCGACACAATTGTTGTAGGATCTGCTTTCCACGGAGAATAAAAGGAGCTACGAACCCCAATGGATCGTAGATGGATGCTACTGTAGAGAGTACTCCTGTTCTGGTGTTTGGGTGTTCTTTGACAGTCACTCTGAACTGGAATTCATCAGAGTTTACACACCATTGAACGCCAAGAACTCTTTCCACAAGTGGCTCTCCCAAAGCCATATCCATGTCCTTGACACTCTCAGCACACTCGTCCTTTGGTATTGATTTCAATACCTCCTGGCTGTTGGAGATAAATTTGTGTACTCTAAGCTTGCCTGTGCTGCAAAGGTCTCTCACTTCCTTAATCAGTTGGATTGCTTCAGCGTCGGATGTTGCGCAAACCAGTCCATCGTCAACATAAAAATTATTTTGAATTAATTTAACAGTGCTTGGATTAAATGTATCCTGACCTTGAGCGGCTAGATGCTTAAGTCCAAAATTGGCACATCCAGGTGAGGAGGCAGCCCCAAATAGATGGACCTTCATCCGAAAAATTGAGGGTGGAGACTCTAGATCACCGTTCTCCCACCATAAGAACCTGAGGTAGTCTTGATGCTCCGGTCTCACGTGGAACTGGTGAAAGATTTTTTCCACATCACACATGATGGCTATCGGGCCCTTGCGAAACCTACAAAGTACTCCCACCAAGGTATTTGTAAGCTCTGGACCAGTAAGAAGTTGGTCATTCAGTGACGTTTCTTGAAACCTTGCTGAGCAATCAAAAACCACTCATATCTTTCCAGGCTTTTGGGGGTGGTATACGCCATGGTGAGGAATATACCAGACTGGTTGATTGTCAAGCTCTTCTTCAGGGACCTTTTCTGCGTCGCCACGAGCAATGATGTCTTTCATAAACCTCAAGTAGTCAGTGCAGTATTGCTGGTCTCTCCTGAGCTTTCGTTCCAAGGACATTAGGCGTTGAACAGCACATGACTTATTATTTGGTAGATTTGGTCTGTCTTGTTTGAAAGGTAAGGGCATTTCTAAATGACCGTCTTGCTTCTGTCTAATACCATCTTTCAGTTTAGCCAAGAAGTGAAGATCTTCTTGAGAAAAGGTTGTCTCTTCCCCACCTCTCTCATTAAAATCAGATTTCAACATCTTAATTATGTCAACTGGAGTGACCATTTCACTGACCTGGGTATTGCAAACATAGTGGACTTCTCCTTTAAGCTTGACCATTGCATTCACTTCAGGCATGACTTGTTTTACGATGATGCGGCGACTTACTCCAATTGCATCACCGTAGTCTTCACCTGGGTCACCATAACTCACTATGCTCCAACCTAAGTCGGTCTTCTGAGCAAATGGCTGGCTTTCCTCTCCATAAACGACTTCTCGTGGCATTAGAGCTTGTGGGCAATTGTATCCAATCAACAGACCAATTTCGCAATCCTTTTGAGGTGCAATGTGGTCAGCAAGATGCTCCAAATGAGGCCATGCCTTCGCTGTCTCAGGCACTGGGATGTGTGTGCG